TTTGTAGCTCATTTTCGTTCTCGCCAGCCTCCTTGGTGAGTCTAGCCACTGTCCTTTGGAGCTCCTTTACTTCCTCTCCTTGCTTCTCCAGCTCGGCCTTCTAGAAGTCCACCGTGCGAAGAGCAGCATTCCTTTCAGACAGGTACCGATTCACCTGAACGGTGGATGAATCTTTCTCTGCTTGAGTAGCTTCTAAGTCCCGCTTAGCCGCGTGTTCTCTTCTCTCAGCTCGACCAGCCCCTCAGCAGCCCCCAGCTGAGCCTTCTGTATGGACAAGTGTATAGAGAGCAGGGCCTGCGTAACGAAGAAAGTAAAGAGTTAGTCCTTTCTACTGAAAAAAGCAAATGTAAAGTCCTTGCCGAGGACAGCTCGTTTTACCTGGCCCAAGTGTTGGAAGGATATGGACATCAGGTCTATGGGGTTGGAGGCCACGAATTGCTCGAACGCCTCTGCGAGCCCGCACTTTAGTAGGGTGAAAACCACCGGCTGCAAATGATCTAGAAGTTGCCCCATCGAGTCCAGCAAGGGCGTGCCCGTGCCCGTGCCCGTGCCCGTGCCCGTGCCCATAACAGGTAGCGTTCCCTCCTCCGGTTCCTTGCCCGACCTCCTTCCTGGACCTGTAGCCTCCCTTTGCCTCGTCCACGGACCCCCCGGGGAAATGGAGATGTCGATCGCGCCCCCTGAAGGCCCTCTCGAACGGAATGCTTGGTAAGGTTGCGACCTCTCGGGCTGAATGCCCAAGCCCTCCAGCTCAGACTCTGACTCTTCGGCCTAAAGTTGCTTTCACTTCTTGGACTTTTGGGCCATAGTCTTTTGATTTGAGCGAACAGACGAAGGCTGGGGAGCGCCTGCAAGTCAGACCGAAGCACCCGCCGGTGTCCCTCCGATGGGGGGATTGCTGGGAGCCGCTCCAGTCGATTTGGTGACGCTTACTCGGGGGAAGGTGAACTGCCTTGGTCGCGGTGATCTGGGCACTTAAGGAGGCATGGTCGCTGCATGCGAGCATCATTAGCAAAACAGTTTGCTACATGCAAGAAAAAAAAAAAAAAAAACAGACTAAGGTTATGATGCTTACTCGGTATGGTCTCTAAGGTCGCTTTGGCATTGAAAAAACCGTATTTTCATAAGTTCGCGGTTGTCACAAGCAGTCTCGCGTCGCGACTCCTTTCGGGCAAAAAGCCGAAAGCAGTGATTCTGTCAGGATCCTCGAGAGCCGATAACCTGGTTGTCTTGTTAACTGCGAAGAGACAAAAACTCATTAGCGAAGATTAAAAGGAAATTCGCGAACTCAAAGAAAGGAGAACCTACTTGGCTCCTTAAATTGGCAAATGACATCATATCGAAAGAAGAAAAACTTTGTCTCGTATGCCCCAACATTGCTGGGGTAGCTATGTATTCCCACTTCGATTGTAGGTTGCTTCGAGAGGTAGAAGGAATCCTTGTCCTTACTCTTCTTTAGGATGTACGAGCAACCGAGCTCTAGCGCGATTAGCTCGCCTAAACCGTTTTCGTCGCATGCGATATACATAGCCACGACTATCATATATGCATTCGGCGTAAGCTGTAGCGGTGCGATCCCGAAGTGATCTAGGATCGACCTAACGAAAAGGTGGAAAGGGATCAACCCTCCACTCTTAAAAATGTTCTCGGAGATCGCAGCCATTCCTTCTGGCGGATTCTGAGCTATATACGTCCTATGCTGGAAGACTTCTACGCCGAGAGCGTATTGGTCTACCACCTTCTGAATCTCCTCGGTAGTGATTGCCGATAGAATCTCTTGAGAGGGACCTGCTGGGACATCCTGCACCAGCGAGCTGATTCCCTCATCTGTCCTGGTCGTTGAAGGGTCCATTCTTCTGCGGTATGAAAAAAGCAACATGCAGGAATCACTCAGTTGTCGTACACTGTTTCGTACGATGACATGAAGGAAAAAATAAATGCTTCCTCCCTTAAACCCTAGAAAACCCTAAAAGAATCCTTAGGAGTCACCCTCAATGGCTCAAACCCTAGGAGACGATTTCATCTCCGATCAACTACTGGCAAACACTATCACCGCATGGCAACTATCAAAAACAAAAAAGAAATAAAGTGGTAGAAGAACCATTCTTACCTCTTGAGTACGAAGATTGATCCCCCCACTTTGAGTGTCAAGCGCGCACCAGTCCGAAAGATGGAAAATCAAGTCTCACGAAAGTTTCTTGCTTTCTCTGAAGAAGTGAATATTGTGCAATTACCTGAGGTGAGCTTGGGGTTTTTATAGTGAAGGAAGTGGTGTTTGGTTTTTTCGAAGTCAAACTACGTTTGAGCGGGAAACATTTCTCACCATTGATCACGACCACGTGTCGCTAATCAGCAAAGAAAAGTGACCGTCACGCTTTAAGAAACCAAATCGTCGTTCTTTTCTGTTGAAACACTCAAGCGACAGCTCGTTTCCCTCCTCCACATTAAATGCGCCCACATTCGCATTTAATGTTCTGATAGGGAATGTCGTTTTAGAATGACTCGCATTTAATGCGCATGGCTGACACTTATTGCGCATAAGACACGTCTGTCAGAGCAAAAGGTATTTCATTAATGTATCAGCTACAAAAGTGCAACGGATAACATCTGAAGAGGTCGTTACATTAAATACTCTTCGTCGTGTCAATCGCGAAGCGACATGACTCTTTGCCCTCGTCGCGTGTCAGTTGCAAAGCGACGTGACTTTGCTTTCAACAAAAAATTCTCCAAGTGTAATCAGGTCGAGAACCTCGGTCAAAGACCAGAATCATCGTTATGGCACTAAATAAAGTCTAGAACAGGTCGTAGACCTTAAGAAAGATCATTTCAGGTCGCCTGCATGGAAATGTTTCCTCGACCTCTTTGCAACCAGGTCGGATCAATCGTAGTCCATTCAACGCGTATCAAATCAAGGCATAATTGTGTAGTTTTCAAGGTTCGATTCTCAAATCTTAAAAACTAGGGGACTTCTGTTATGCTTGAAAAAGTAGGGCTGACGTCAAACCTTGTCAGCATGGGCGGTCAGAATTTAGGTAGGTTCTGCAGCCATTCAGACGCAGCCACGTCGCAATCTGATGCGAGCGGTATGCTCCTGCCAGTGCAGTGGGTGTGCGCCAGATTGACGAAAGGTTGGAAACGGTCCACGTGTCCAATCCCTGCACAAATTGAGGAAATCACTCGAGCAGGTGAGCAACGGGACGCAAAGAAGGATTTGCACGGCAATCTAACCCACTCGCAGATTCAGTAATCATTACCTCAATTCATCCCACTATAAATAGAAGGCTCCTCTCCCGTTTGTGGGATTAGCTAATTTTACTCTAGAATAGCAAATTCTCTCTCTCTCTCTCTCTCTCTCTCTCTCTCTCTTGTATTCTCAAAGCTATAAATCAGTTCGCTAGTCGCGACCTGATCTCACATATTAATACAACATCAATGGACGTAAGATTCGCTTGTTTAAGCATCTGAACCATTTTAAACATTGTTCTTCATCTCTTACTTAATCCAATATCCTCATATACACGTGTGTCTTCTGAGTCAACTCAATATTTCTTACGTACGATTAATTAGTGTCAAAATGAAACATCAACAATTTCAAACTACTAAACAAGAAAACGGAATTAGGCGATTTTAGATCAGGTATACCTCATCAATAAATTGATTTAATGTTGAACTTTTGTGATGCGTGGCGGGGTGTGCGGTAATTTACAGCCGAATAAATGCTTTCACCGTTCACTTTCTTAACACGTGCGTGCTCTCACGTATATATATGACACCTGACAACAATTTTTTCCATGGCAGGGTCTTAAACGTACCTGATTTTCAGGTTCTCTCCCGCAACTCTCTGTCAATTTTTAATTTAAAATAGAACAAACTCTTTCTCTTCCTCTTCCTCTTCCTGACCATCTCTCGTATTATTTGTCTTCCCTACAATAACAACCAAAATTTATAACACTGACTGAGATCGCTCATGCTTTCCTTCGGTAACAAAAACTTTAGTTAAAACTGAATAGAAATAGTTTAATGAGCGAAGATAACGAAAGGGTCTTTGTTTTAAGATCTATCGAAGGCCAAACATCCAGGACACGATAGGAACGTCCTACCAACTATAAAAATGTAATTTTTAACCTTAGAGATTAAGTCTAACATAAAGAGTGACATTAGAATTAGAGTGTGAGGCAACTGAGTGAGAATTATGACTGAAGTAATGAGTGCTACCACTAGAAAGAACTCTAGGATACTCCATTAATTGCTTGAGGAAGAGAGACTCGTAATTAGACCTGAGTAGTTTGCAAAAAGTTGTAATACAATTACGGGACAAGTCAGGGTAATTTCATCATGTGCTATTGAATGTTATTGGCATTGCAGTGATAGAATTGTTTATTCATATAAGAAATTTAGAGGACTACAAATTCAACAGTGAACTTGCAACGCATTCTAGCGGATTGTTTGCAAAGAAAATGGTTCAACCTCAACTGGAAATCTGTAAACCCAATTAGGAAACTCAACTGTTTCTTCTCTTTCTCTGTCATCACCCACCCCTGTATACTGCATAACAGCATAACATAATATAAACAAAATTATATAATTACCTTCTCTTCGGTATTTGCCGCGCCCTTCTCTTCCCCATTGTTTGTTAATCTGCGAAAGCGGAGAAGTAATGACCTACCTAATTATCCCAAAACTAAAAAGTCGTCAGCCATTACTTACAGAGTGACAGTTCAACAACATCAAGGGCTTTTATATGAAATGAATCATCTTTTTTTTATGCTTCACGTGTAAGTATAACACATGAAATCATCTGGTTTGTATGATAATGAAATAAGTAGAAGGGTTCATGTAATTAATTAATTGCATTCTTCCAATTAAATATTCTAAAAATAGAATTAAATAGTAATATACAAAAATGGAAGAATGAGCTGGCACAGGACCCCACCTGACCAGCGGGCCCAAGTAATAAATAAACACAAAGAAAACGCTCAACTCAACACACTGATCTGATTGATTAAAGAAGACAGTCAAGACACAGTGGTTGGTGGTGGCGGTGGTGAAGTTGAAGTGGAGTTATTATGATGGCGGACTCGTTTTGTCGAGATTGCAATAAACTGACGGAGGTAGTGTTCGATCACTCAGCGGGGGACACCATTTGTTCGGAGTGCGGTCTGGTCTTGGAGGCCCACTCCATTGATAAAACCTCGGAGTGGCGTACCTTTTCCAACGGCTCCTCCGACCACGACCCTGTTCGTGTTGGTGGACCCCTCAACCCTCTCTTGACTGACGGCGGTCTTTCTACTGTTATTGTCAAACCAACCGCCGGCTCCACCCAGTTTTTGTCGGGTTCGCTCGGAAAATGGCAGACTCGAAGTTCTAATCCTGATAGAAATCTTATTCAGGCATTTACGTATATCTCTGCCATGTCTGATAGGTACAATTCTTGTATTTATTTTTCTATTACATTTTTCCATTCACTTTTTCTATTTGGGCCCTTTTTGTTTTTATTTTATTTTTTATTATTTAATATTTCTATCGTTTTCAATTTTGACTAATAAAAAGACTTGCTTTTTTGTTTAAATGGATATTTAAATATTGCATTTTCATATTTGTGTCAAAGATCACTAACGTTATTGATTGGTGTTTCAGGTTGGGGCTTGTTACAACCATAAAGGTATTTAGTTATTATTTAAATTGATTTATTTAATGAAAATTAATTTGTTCTTCACTGAATACTATTCGTACTTGTATTTGCTTATTTACTGTTTGAAATATACTCCTTGAAAATTGATTTTGCTAGCTTATAAGGTTTTTCCACGCCACAAACTAGGGTTGACAGGAATGCTTGTTGATGTGAATTAAATGTTTAATTGATTTAAATTTAAGAATGAAGTTTAGGAGATGTCTTATGGATAGTTTCGATTAAGATTTTGGAAATAGTGATGCTGAAAAGTTTCTTGTCAGTTGGTAAGGCCAATCCAGTTACTGTATAGAACCAAGAAATGGAAAAAAATCAAAGTGGTAACTGGCAATTTGACAACCAATCCCTGCCAAGGGCCAAATCTGAAGGGGTTTCTTTTACGGATTGCCTGCAGTATGTGGGAGTCTGACCATGATGTTTGTAGTGAGAACACAAATCTTTGGAGATATTAGGTACAGATGAGATCGAGAACAAGATGGACATGTCTTGATAGAGTTCGAAGTTTTATGTGTCTTAAGATTCACATTTGAAATTTAGATAATCTAAGCGCATTTGAGGGTTCCTTTGAGTCACATTGCATATGACCAGCATTTGTTGAATAGTTATTTTTGGGACACTTATGTTTAATGTATGTTTTAGGAGCTTAGGGGAACATAAATGATATCCATGGCTGAATCAATCATGATTTTGGGGTAAAATGTTAAATTCTAGGTAGTGTGGTGGTCATTAAGCACAATGTTGCTCATTGCAGATCTAATATATTCACCAATTAATTTGTACTGTAAAGTTCGGAAGCGTATAACCTTTTTGAAGTCAGTTGCCTTCTTTCCCTTATGCATATTATATGTTAGTATTTTAACTTCTATTTGAGTCTTATATGCTCACATATACGTGCTATTCTGCCTTTTTCATAAAATTACTCTGCTGGTTTCTATTTTGAAATACTTCGGTTTTATGTTGTTGGGCCTTTAGATTTAGAGTGCTCATCTGCTATCACTTGTTATTTTGACTGCAAGGATCGAGCTAATGAAATCTATAAGAAGGTAGAAGATCAGAAACCTCTTAGGGGACGGAATCTAGCAGCAATTGTGGCAGCTTGCCTCTACATTGCTTGTAGACAAGAAAACAAGCCACGGACTGTGAAAGGTAAAGAGCATGCTGTATTTAAAAGTAATCATTGATATTTCTTTGTGTTATGAGGTTTCCTATTCTAACTATTTGCATTTCAACTAGAATTTTGTTCTGTTGCCAATGGGACAACAAAGAAAGAAATTGGACGGGCAAAAGAGTTCATTGTGAAACATCTGGAAGCAGAGTTAGGTCAATCTATTGAAATGGGAACTATACATGCTTCAGACTATCTGGTGAGTTTGTTCCTGGATAATTTAATCTTTTTATTCTTTCTGTTTGTCTGTGATTTTGCTTCTGTTTCATAATTTTCTGCTCCCAATGTTTCCTTGTCATGGATTTGTTTAGTATAACCAATTATATAATTTGTATCTTGAATTAGTAGAGACGTTTTGGTTCCTATCTTGGAATGACCAATCAAGCTGTTAAGGCCGCTCAGGAAGCTGTGCAGAAATCTGAAGAGCTTGACATAAGGTTTATTCTGTTTTTATTTATTTATTATTTTTCTGTATGCATTTCATTTGTGTAGTCGAGAATTTTCTTTTCTATAAGAGTGGATAACATTGGATAACTTGCGAAATTAAGGGTTTTCGTGGTTAAATATTTGACTAAACATTTGTAGCTTGAAAATCATATCCACCAAAACCGATCTGCAGGGATTTGACTGTTCAATTTTGTAGGAATTTGTGGAAAATACCAAGAAGTACTTCGATGTTTTTTGCTAATCATAAATTTACTTTGAAAAAACGAAACTCTTTCAATTCCTTCCACAGGAGGAGCCCAATCTCACTAGCTGCTGCTGCTATATACATCATCACTCAACTATCAACTGACCCAAAGCTTCTCAAAGGTGAGAAACCAATGAATTCTTTTTGTTATTATGTTTACTTGGATAATATTCATGCTGCTGTGGTTGCAGAAATTTCTGTCGTTACTAGAGTGGCTGAAGGTACAATAAAAAATTCCTACAGGGATCTTTATCCTCATTTGTCAAGAATAATACCAGATTGGTTTGCCAATGCGGAAGATATCAAGAGCCTGCCATTCTGAAATTGCTTAAAGGTGATGGTTATGGTTCCTTGTAGCCTCCATAATGCTTAATCCCCTTCTTCAAGCAAACCATCATGTAAATGCCTGTCCTTCCAGTGTTCTTACCGGGAACATCAGCTTAGTAGCAGTAGCTTTGTAGCTCCTAGAGACTGTAGTTGTTAAAAGCACTACTTCCATATTTATCTTCTTTTTTTTTTTTTTTTTTTTCTAAGTAAGTAAATTGTATTTACAAAGGATGTCAACCTACATCGGGACATCCCCCGCGTAGGGTGCAAAAAATAAACAAATGCCTAGGCTTGACACTACACAATTCTTTTGGGAGCCTATCTAAACCAACATGGGAGATAAGACCCAAGAGAAAGAATCTAGCTAAGAAATTAGCAACAAAACACTATCCTCGGGACAATCTCCTGGGTTTGGCTCCAAAACACATACAATAAAACACAAAAAAGACTCAAAGCAGAGAAACAAAGAGAGTAAGAGTAAGGATACACCGCGGCAAAGTCTTCACAAAACAATAAACAACTTAGTAAGTCTCTCATCGAAAGAAGAACATTCCACCCGATCACATGGTCTCCAATAATGCTGGGAGTGGAGCGGGTGCTTTTGAAGATCGCTCTAGGATGTCCTTATGTATAAGCCAACTTCCTATTTTTATAAGAAGATTTAATATTGTTCAGTTCCATGGCTTAACATGGGGTGGTGGCGCAGTTGGCTAGCGCGTAGGTCTCATAGCTTCCATATTTATCTCTGCTGCCTGTAAGAAGTTTCGCCCCGCTAGACTACTAATTGGAGTAAATTATATTTTGCTTTAGCTTAGTAAATTAGAGTTACTGTTTTACTTTAGGAACTGAGGTGACAATTTGTGAAGCTTAGATGCTGACAAATTCTTTGACCCAGTACATATCATCTTAACCTAATGTAAATAACCTAAATACTTGGAGCCACTTCAAACTGAGACATTAGACCATAGATGCGAAGACTTTTATTTTATTTATTTTTTAAAAAAATATTAGAACAGTTTACGCATACATAAACTAATACACGTGAGAGACTAAAACAATAAACAAAAATAAAGACCAAAAACTTAAATCTTGAGAATTAAGAAGATTCGACCTTGAGAAAGTGAGTCTTAAACACACATCCGAACACAAATCTTATCACTTGAGTTATCAAAGGATGATCATAAATTTGAAGATGAATAGCACTATTTTCCAACACATGCTTCCAATTCATGTGCATAAGATATAGGGTTCAAATGTCCCAAATAAGTTAGGTGTTGTATGTGTTACTTGATGCCTTTGAAGCTCACATGTACAAAACAAACCAAGCCTAACTTTAATAGAAGTTATCCAAAAACCCCGACTTGTGCTGCTCTTTTTGTCATCTTTCCTTTGAGGAGTCAACAAATTCCAGATGCATGGCCCCTAAACAAAAAAGAAAGTGAGTGCGTAATCCATTTGGGGTGTTTGCTTCCATAAAATAATGAGCAAAAAGGAAGATGGTCTATTCTTTTCAGAAAAAGAGAATTTTTTTTATAATAGATAAACAAAGGTGGCTTTATCACTATCAGATATTTAACCTTAAACAAGCCAAAGTTTTTCAAGTAATATAAAATAAAAAAAGAAGGCGGGATATTTTGTGTGGTGAATGTCATATAAGAACAAAGAGGGAAAGAATGATCAGGGATGGGGTCTGAAAAAGTGAGAAAGTAACCTTCAAAAACAGCAATAATTGACGTGTACTTAGATGCCTATAGCCATAGGACTAAGCCACGTGAGTGATGTGACTCGACTCTTTGTCTTTTTTTTTTTTTTCTGATAGAAAATAACTTTACGGAACTAACTGGTTAAGCGGTCCCATGTATTATTATTGCTTATTTGTTTCTTTTCAGAGTTCAGTGGCCACGTTGTTGTAGACACCTGACCTACCAATTCAGCTCCTGATGGATCACCCACCCCCCAAACTTAATCAATCAAAACCTGGTTTCTAATTTCTAAATAAACCCTGAAACCACTTTTTGTTCTTTTCTTTTTTCAGTTTTTTAGCTTTCTGAAGGAAAAGGGTAATCAAATTGTGACCTTGTGCATCTTCAAGAGGTGGAACTCTCCGGTATCTGATGGGTCATCAATGGCAACTTTATTTCTTTAACCCATTAGTTCTTCACTCTCGATTTAAGTGATTTAACTTTCTAGTCTCCGTGGTATAAATATAATATCAATCGACAATGATTGGTTCTAAATTAGGAAGGATTGACACGAGTTTAATCAGTTGAGGCAAGATTCAGGGGTGGGTTGAAGATTGAAAATGTCTTGTAGTAGCTTTAAGTGACCGATTTTGCAAATCTTATGAAGTGAATTTCATGGAGAATGACTAGGCATAAAGTTAAACAAGTAAACAGCCAATCTAGGGACCCCATTGACACCTCCAAAATTCGCCAATTAGTTTTGACAATCATCGTCACCAAAGTTCCACTTTGCTTTCTCGATGCGCATGAAGCTTCAAATGTGTTGGACTTGTTACTCTGCATAATTTGTCTTTTTGGATCGCCGTCCACGTAGACCCACCACCACCAATTGAATTCCATATCTAATGAACCTGGAGAAAAAATTTATTATTTGTTTGTTGATAAACATGGCTTATTTGTCATTCTCTACCGACTCTGTCTTCCTCTTTACCCACTTTATTAATAAGTGACCTGCTCTGTCATTTCAAGCCTATCACTAAGCCCATAAGAGAAGAAAAAAGATCACAAATCCTATCATTTGTCTAAGAAAAAAAAAAGTGTTTATCATAAGAGTAAGAGGAGGAATCAAGAGGGTCACTTACCTTAAAGAAAAAGCAAAATCCAGGATGGTGCCACCAACAATGATGGAGATGTGGACAACAATGGGCTCAACAATTGCGAGTTTCATGTTTGTTTGGGCAATCATTAGGCAATACTGCCCATATGAGGTTCGGCGTTACTTTGAGAAGTACACACACAGAATCATGGGGTTCTTTTATCCCTACATCAAGATTTCAATCCATGAGTTTACCGGTGATCGCCTCAAACGCAGTGAGGCTTATGCAGCTGTTGAGGCCTACCTCAGTGTCAACTCATCCAAGAGTGCTAAAAGACTCAAGGCCGAGATGGGAAAAGATAGCAGCAACTTGGTGCTTAGCATGGATGAGTATGAAAGAGTAACTGATGAGTTTCATGGGGCGAAAGTTTGGTGGGTTTCCAGCAAAGTTGTGTCACCAACAAAGAGCATGTCGTATTATTCGGAGCAGGAGAAGAGATACTACAGGCTCACATTTCATAAGCGTTATAGGGAGATTATAACTGAGACTTATTTGGAGCATGTTGTGAGAGAAGGGAAGGAAATCAGGGTGAGAAACAGGCAGAGGAAGCTTTACACAAATAGTCCTGGTTACAAATGGCCGAGTTACAAGCAAACAATGTGGAGTCACATTGTGTTTGAGCATCCTGCAACCTTTGAGACAATGGCGTTGGAGCCGGAGAAGAAGCTGGAGATTATTGAAGATCTTGTGACTTTCAGTAAAAGTAAAGAGTTTTATGCAAGGATTGGGAAGGCATGGAAAAGAGGGTATCTTCTCTATGGTCCTCCAGGGACCGGCAAGTCTACTATGATTGCTGCAATGGCGAATTTGTTGAATTATGATGTATACGATCTTGAGCTCACTGCAGTCAAGGACAATACAGAGCTAAGGAAGCTTTTGATTGAGACAACCAGTAAGTCAATCATTGTAATTGAAGATATAGATTGTTCACTTGATCTAACAGGTCAGAGGAAGAAGAAAGCTGAGAAATCTTCAGAAGATGATAAAGAAAAGATTGATAAGGAGGCTTCTCGGAGAGAACAGAGGGAAGAGAGCAATAGCAAAGTTACACTTTCAGGGCTGCTGAATTTTATTGATGGGCTCTGGTCTGCCTGTGGAGGAGAGAGGTTGATTGTGTTCACTACAAACTATGTGGAGAAGCTTGATCCGGCATTGATAAGAAGAGGAAGGATGGATAAACACATTGAGCTTTCTTATTGCAGTTTCAAGGGATTCAAAGTGCTTGCAAAGAATTATCTGAAAGTGGAAACTCATCCCATGTTTGATACAATTGAAAGGTTGATGAATGAGACCAAGATCACACCAGCTGACGTTGCTGAGAATCTCATGCCAAAGTCTCCATCAGACGATGTAGAGAAATGTCTTTCAAGTTTGATTCAAGCTCTTGAGGAAGGTAAGGAAGAAGAAGCTAAGAAAAAAGCTGACGAATTGAAAGAGGAGGTGGTCAAAGAAAATGCTGATTGAGTCCAAAGTTGACAAAGAAATAGAAGAAACATTGTGATGCTGAAACGCAATATGATCTTTTAGGAATAATTTTTCATGAGAAATTGTTCTTGTTTATGGAGTTATCATATACAAATAACAATTCCTTAAATCGTAAGGCCCGTGGAAATTAGCCATTTGAGCAACATATTAAAACAATTCAGAGGAACATAACATGAAACCAGGCACTACAAATCCAGGTGCATAAGCATTATTACAACAAAAGTTACTTGAGAGTAGAAAATTGTTAAACTGGTGAGAGACAATAGTTACCATTTGAGGGAGGATGGTTTCGTTCCATTACAACAAAGAAAAGAAATTCTGAATTTTTTTTTTTTTTTTAATCAACAGACCCAACCAACCCAAAAGCCCAAGAAGATCACCTCATGATCATGATTCATGGCATCAACTACATGGCTTCAACATCTAAAAGCCAGATTTTTCAGCTACAATATTAGTTAAAAGGTTATTGTACATTAATTGGATAAGCTAAATAACTCTCAATGGATTCCTCATCCACCTTTCGTAGGTTTCTTTGAATGTAGACATACTAAAAAATGACTACCTAAACTACATAACTCTCAGCATCTTGTTGCTCCCCCCTGCAAATCTATAATAGAATTGCATGCCAGTATTAGCTTAAATTAAGCCATGGAAGGGCTCTGACCATAAATTCCACCATGACTAGATGCAAAATTTATAGTTCTATCGTACACTAAGCTTCCCTGAGAGAAAAATACACCTCGTGCTTTCAGCAGAGAAGGAAACTTTAAAAATCATCTGTACCATCATCTTTTATAGAGTTTGGACCATCATCAAAACCAGAAACAGGAGCAAGCTCATTTAGGTCAAGGAAACGTCTCTTTTTTACACCACCCTCAACTTCACCTTGCCCTGGGCTATTTGGTTTCTCAGGTGGCGGCTGGTTTGGCTCTTTCTCACCTGTCTCAGCATAACCTTCAACAGGTTGATCAACTTTTACTTCCTGCTCATCTTCATGGCCATCAGATTCTTGACTACCAGTTGAATATTCTGCATTTTCACTCCCATTTGAGTGTTCATCTGATGCATTTGACTTATCAGGTTTCGCTGACTCTGTTTCTGAGTCTGACAGCTCATACTGCCTGTAATTTATGCGGTTTCTATTAGCCCTTTTACTTCGTCTTAGACCTGACTGCAGCTCGTCTACTGACCTTAATTTAGTTTCCCTTCGAGTACGACCTGGCAATTTCTTAAACTTTTGGGGCTCATCACTGTCCTCACTGATACTCAAGGAATCTTCTTCCTCCTCCTCCTCATCATCTTCAGCATTTTCTTCATCCCAATGATACTCCTCATCCCCTTCAGAGCTGCTGGACAGTTTTCTCCTTTGTTTCCGTTTCTTCAGATATTCTTCATCATACACAACTTCTCCAACTATATCATCATCACTGTCAAAATATGCCTCATTATCTGAAACCGCTTCAACAAAGTCTTTCCCTGAATATCGTTCAGGCCTCTGTCTTCGCCGATTGCTGCATATCATTAATGTTACGGTTAATTTATTATAAATTTATTTAGGCAACAAATTATACAAAAAATTATCATACCCTCGGTCTAATTCTTCATTTTTATGATCTTCGTCATTCTCATCATAATTGGGTGAATTAGGGGACAGCGCAGTAAAACTGCCATGTTCAGAGGCCTGTAAAGGATCACTCCATTTACCATTTGTGGAAGCTTCAGGCTTGGAACCAAGTTCTCTTCTTTGAAGAGACTCTGGGGATGGTGGTTTCCGCCTGAAACCACAGTAATAAAAGAGAAAATAAATCAATATCATACTGTACAAAGATAAATGTAAGTTCCCTGTAACAAAGACGTGTGTCCAAAGATAATTTCCATACTTGGTTATCTTGATGGCCTCGTTAATCGACCGGTCATAATCATCTGCAAGAAAATTTGACATGTCAGATTCCATAAATTAATCATCACACAAAATTAATAACAATGCAGTCAAAACATTTCCCACTATGAGTAGGTCATCTGATGGTCCCACTGCCCAAAATCTAGCGGTCAATGAAAGCCGATTTCTTTTCCATTTTTAACACAAATCCATGCCACACTCCTTAAAAAGATGTTTATCTTTTGGAGGATTTTTTTTTTCTTTCAAAAATTATCTATCCTACACGTAACAATTTCAATTTAGAATTTTGTGACATGAATATTACCGCTCACCATTATGAACTCAGCTCAGAGACAACTAATTCCCAAGGATTTTAAAAGAAAGAAAAATTGGTTCAGAATAGAGCAGAATAAACAAATGATAAACAAAGCCAGCTCCATTTTGTTGGATTAAGGCATCATCGACTTAGGTTGAGTATATCACAAGAGAGACCTCAAAGGTTTTATATGGACTGTGGCTAGAAACACAGAAAGTTAGCACCACAGCACCCTAAAGGGGTATAACAGAATTCAGTCTGATGATGATCCTAATCAACCAACAGTTAATAGGAATATGCTTGCTATGAGAAAGGACCACATTAAAGAATTGGCATGGTTACACTGAATGCTCCTTGCATTGATCACTTCCATCCAATAATCCCGAAAAGCAGAGAAATGGAGAGTCCAGTACATGGAACAAAAATCTCAAAAGTACAGCTCACTAAATTGCCAAAAACTCATCAGATCCAAGAAGGCACCCTCTCAAAGGTAACCATTGTTTCTAGTCTGTACCACACGACACAAGTTCTGAATGGTTAAAAACCCCATTTTGACAAACACAAACAAGGCTTAGGTTGCATCTACCCAGTGAAGGAAGAACAAGAAAGATTTGAAAATGCATGACAAACATGATAGATCAATGAAGTATATATCATTATTCTTCTGTAAGTGTTTCATTTTCATAAACAGGCTCAACCTTAGTTATACAAGTAACCATTGCTGCTAAAAAAACTTGGGGTCACTTGTAATTGGAAGCAGGACAGACTAGTATAATAAACAAAGAGGCAGTCTGTTGCTCTTACCAAAGGTATAAGTGACTGGTTTTCTGTCACGAAGTGAACGTCCTGGACCAAGCCCATCCACATTCAGGAAGTTATCAAGAAGCAGGGCTTGTCGGTGTTGCTTTTTCAGCAATTTCTCTTTTCTCTGCACAAATATAAAAACAGCAATCTATAATGTAGCAAAATTTACTAAAGCAGAAATCCTCATAAGATTGAGAAATACTAAATTTGCGGAAAAAATATAGACAAGTTCTTTCAGTGAAGTTAACAAAACAACAATATGCAATCAGATATAGATCAACAGGCAGTTTCAAGTACCTTATGTTCCTTCTCAATTTCTGGAAGCATGTCATTCTTTAACTTCTTTCCGAGAGAAACCTCAGTTCGATTTTTACTTGAAAAAAGCTTTTCCTGCAACAGAAAGGCAGAACCCAAAAAGTACTTCAATACACCCACATATATATAAAAGTCAAACTTCTGCTTCTTCACTTCTCTTTAAACTTCAGTTGCCAAGGAGTTTCAAGAAAGCTCTTTTTCTTCATAAATTCAAATTCGGAATGGGTTTGGGCTAGTCTATTATTTGGGTTTGTAACCTTTTATAGTATCTTTAGAGGTGGTATACTATTCAGGGATGCAGATTCTGGGTCCTGTATGTTTTCTCGTTTGTTCCAGTGGGACTGTTTTTCATGTCCAGGGACCTCTACTTTGCTTTTTGTATTTTCCATTACCTATTAATATAAATTTTTACTGTTTCTTACATTAAAAATACAATAAAACATTNCATGTCAGATTCCATAAATTAATCATCACACAAAATTAATAACAATGCAGTCAAAACATTTCCCACTATGAGTAGGTCATCTGATGGTCCCACTGCCCAAAATCTAGCGGTCAATGAAAGCCGATTTCTTTTCCTTTTTTAACACAAATCCATGCCACACTCCTTAAAAAGATGTTTATCTTTTGGAGGATTTTTTTTTTCTTTCAAAAATTATCTATCCTACACGTAACAATTTCAATTTAGAATTTTGTGACATGAATATTACCGCTCACCATTATGAACTCAGCTCAGAGACAACTAATTCCCAAGGATTTTAAAAGAAAGAAAAATTGGTTCAGAATAGAGCAGAATAAACAAATGATAAACAAAGCCAGCTCCATTTTGTTGGATTAAGGCATCATCGACTTAGGTTGAGTATATCACAAGAGAGACCTCAAAGGTTTTATATGGACTGTGGCTAGAAACACAGAAAGTTAGCACCACAGCACCCTAAAGGGGTATAACAGAATTCAGTCTGATGATGATCCTAATCAACCAACAGTTAATAGGAATATGCTTGCCATGAGAAAGGACCACATTAAAGAATTGGCATGGTTACACTGAATGCTCCTTGCATTGATCACTTCCATCTAATAATCCCGAAAAGCAGAGAAATGGAGAGTCAAGTACATGGAACAAAAATCTCAAAAGTACAGCTCACTAAATTGCCAAAAACTCATCAGATCCAAGAAGGCACCCTCTCAAAGGTAACCATTGTTTCTAGTCTGTACCACACGACGCAAGTTCTGAATGGTTAAAAACCCCATTTTGACAAACACAAACAAGGCTTAGGTTGCATCTACCCAGTGAAGGAAGAACAAGAAAGATTTGAAAATGCATGACAAACATGATAGATCAATGAAGTATATATCATTATTCTTCTGCAAGTGTTTCATTTTCATAAACAGGCTCAACTTTAGTTATACAAGTAACCGTTGCTGCTAAAAAAACTTGGGGTCACTTGTAATTGGAAGCAGGACAAACTAGTATAATAAACAAAGAGGCAGTATGTTGCTCTTACCAAAGGTATAAGTGACTGGTTTTCTGTCACGAAGTGAACGTCCTGGACCAAGCCCATCCACATTCAGGAAGTTATCAAGAAGCAGGGCTTGTCGGTGTTGCTTTTTCAGCAATTTCTCTTTTCTCTGCACAAATATAAAAACAGCAATCTATAATGTAGCAAAATTTACTAAAGCAGAAATCCTCATAAGATTGAGAAATACTAAATTTGCGGAAAAAATATAGACAAGTTCTTTCAGTGAAGTTAACAAAACAACAATATGCAATCAGATATAGATCAACAGGCAGTTTAAAGTACCTTATGTTCCTTCTCAATTTCTGGAAGCATGTCATTCTTTAACTTCTTTCCGAGAGAAACCTCAGTTCGATTTTTACTTGAAAAAAGCTTTTCCTGCAACAGAAAGGCAGAACCCAAAAAGTACTTCAATACACCAACATATATATAAAAGTCAAACTTCTGCTTCTTCACTTCTCTTTAAACTTCAGTTGCCAAGGAGTTTCAAGAAAGCTCTTTTTCTTCATAAATTCAAATTCGGAATGGGTTTGGGCTAGTCTGTTATTTGGGTTTGTAACCTTTTATAGTATCTTTAGAGGTGGTATACTATTCAGGGATGCAGATTCTGGGTCCTGTATGTTTTCTCGTTTGTTCCAGTGGGACTGTTTTTCATGTCCAGGGACCTCTACTTTGCTTTTTGTATTTTCCATTACCTATTAATATACATTTTTACTGTTTCTTACATTAAAAATACAATAAAACATTGTCAGAATCACCATGTATCTCATCCCTAAATCAAAAGATTAGATGAACAGGGCCCATTTCAAATATATATATATATATATATAACTATCGCTATTAGAAAAAAAGTTTTCCAGCACACATCATTCTTTTCTTTCTTAAGGTAGATGGATAGGGTTGGCAAAGTTCAAATGATAAAAAAGGAATACAATATTTTTATGTTTCAAAGAGCTCTTAAAAAAATAAATATTTAGGAGTAAACAAGAAAATTGGACATATCAAACTGGAGGATTAGCTTAAGATTTGACAAATGCAGATATTCAAAATTCAATATAGAGAATCACAAAAGGTGCTTTTTGACGTAATAATATTTGGAATAAATTAATCCTTTCATAAACTAAATCAAACATGAAATAGTACAAAGAATTTAACCAATCAACATTTCTCATGAAATCTGGAAGAACAGGCATAAACATGGACAGACAATTCTAGAAACTTACAGAAACATCTTGAAATTCTTCCAAATTAGTAGCAACAGTTTCCCACTGGTATGTTGCATTTGGAAGGACATTGGAGCCCTTTGTTTTTGCTTTCTTCACCTCAACCTTTCTTATTTCCCTGTACAACCGATGGCCTATTACCGGATCATCTTCATACCTGCACCAACAAGTAGCTTATATAATTAGTACAACAAAACAATGCGGAATACCCTCAAAACCAAAATTTAAGACAATCTCTAGTTATCACTGGAAATTTATCTACTTAATAACAGGAAATTAGTAAGAATTAATTGATGATCTATAGAAGCTTAAATATATTACCAATAATTAATTCCATATGAATCACCCCCAATCCGTTCTTTGCGAAACGCTGAAAGCTGAAGTCCATGTTTGACTGAGTTGTCAATGTAATTCCGGATATCTTCTTGCTGCAGATACCACTAAAAGTCAATATTTCCCACAAAATGAGAAACAAACAGAAGAATACAAACCCAAAAAAAAAAAAACATATGCAATATCTATTTGCTAGCTCTATACAATAGGGCTTTTGTCGGAAAAACTGAACAAAACTTGAGTCATGATTGCATAACAATGATGGACATTTTTTCTGATAGAACAGTTACGGGTTATCAACTTCAAAAATTAAATAATTGCCATGAAGGATGATATGTAGGTCACTGCATCAATTTTGCCAAAAGCCTTTTCATAAATGTCAAAAGAATAATCAATTAGGATAACGACAAAGATCATCAATGAAAACAGTTACTAGCTTAGATCAACAGAAAGGTTTTAGATGAAGAAGAAAAACCCTTTTTGGAATTTATAACTTTGAACAAGCATGAACAATTGATTCACAACAGACTTAAATCAATGAGCCTTAAGCATTTATCACATTATAAGGATTATGCTACAAATACCCAGAAAAAAGTACCATAGTATATGGTATTTTCACCAAATATGGACTTCATTGACAAATAACAAAAGGGCATCAATCTAAATTATAATTAAAAGTATGGAATAAGAAGATATACATGGACACTAACCACTGTACCACAGGAATCAAACTGAAGTTATTGTTAGAAAACGTCTTAAAAGGACTATGTAGTTTAACTTAAATTAGCTAACAAACAAATTTAAGATGGCATTCCAAAAAATAAAATTAATTTGAGAAGTGTTTCTACAGTTATATGTAGAATTCCTTAAAAATGTAATATCCAATATTGATCAAGACAAATACCTCAACACGAATATCACATAGTGCCTTCAAGATCACCACACGAACTCCAGGATCAAGAGTCTTATATGTTTCAATCTCCAACCTACAAATGAACAAAAAATGGCACATCAGCAATACATAAAGCATCTATATTAGAGTATTCCGAAAATGAATAGCTACTCACCCATGTGAAGCAATGATAGGAAGATCCCCTTCTGCAACCTGCAATAAAATACCAAGCTCATGTCAGCATTGCACAATTATGTATGGCAATTTATATTCCAACATCAATTGAAAGGTGTACAATCATTAAGTTACCCAATGCCACCAGTCTCTTAATTTTCTGCATAAAACAGTGACCCAAGTATCACGTGTGAGGGCCATTCGTGTGATAGGAGGGATTGCCTATAACAAAACAAAACTAAAACCAATAAGCAACAGTAAAATTTCCAATTGCGTCTCATAAAAAAGTTGGATTCCATCAAACAATCAAATCTATGGTGTGAATGAACAGTATTTTTGAAGACTTAAGCCTATAGCAAAGAAACAGTAAACCAATGGTCAAGATATCTTAGGCACTAAACCATTCAAATCTTTGCCGCAAAAAATATTCAATAGCCATCAAGAAAATTTTAATTTTAGTTTACCATAACATACGTCTTCAAAAAATAGATAGATAGATAGTAGAAGCAGGAAGAGAGGGGAATACATGAAATGTACATAAAAGTAACTTCCTCACAAAACAAAAAGAATCCTTTGATTACGTTGCCTGCTTCACAGAAATACATCCACGATGGAAAGAATCCTTCTTAATATGAATCAATTCCTTGATATTTTAACAGGACTCTTTATTTATATAAAATATTTTTGAAACACATAAATTTTGAGTTAAATTATATACATGACACTCATTTTGAATTTTCTTATTCCATGCTAACTAATCACATTTTAACATTTTATAGCAAAGTACGAAATTCATAATCTAGCTACAGAATCAGTTCATCAGCAGAACTCTAACCTATTTATTGTGCAACATTGCTGAAATCTTTCCTATTGATGGTTCATAGCTCCTCATCCTAGAATAGGCTACCTAACTAAAGAAAACACTATTCCAGAATAATTGGGTTTGGCTACATAAGGCCTCTTAAGATCTAAGAGACAAACCATTGCTTAAGAAAGAATATAGATATGCTCCCATCTAAATGTCATATCTAGGTAATAGCCTGAAATACCAGAACAATGACTAATTTTGAGTAAAACTAATATAAAAATGCCTATTAACATATCAGACAATTTAAAATCAAGTCAACTTAATGTACCAGTACGCCAACACTCTGAGACCTAAATATCCTCAGATAAGGTGTTTTTGACAACCAAACCAACACAAATTTCAGTTTTAGACAAGCCTCAGATATAAGCTGGAAGGATCCCAATCATAAAGTAAATGAAGACTAACAAATTGTGCCAACATCATTATAAGAATTTATTTGACTACTAACATATGCACACTTCAACCTTCATGGAAAATTTGAGTAGGAAAATTATTCACATTAAAAAGTCTGCATACAATCATCTGAAATATGATTTCAGGTGAGAGCACACCAGACTGCCTTTTTTCCAACTATATGCAAATCTTCTTTCTCTGGAGCTCACGATTTAACTCCATTCTTTTCGGCCTCTCCAGCATAATTTCTCTCAATATTCAAAGGCATGCATAAAATATGCCACTGAAAGCAAAGTTCTAACACCTTGGAATTTGTATGTAGACACTTAGAACAAACAATAATGCACTCATACAACAGACATTAAGCAATCTTTGAAACCTTTATGCAAATGACCATAGCTTGCTACTTTCACAAAACAGCAGAGTTCTATCTATGCCATAACAACTAACCAATCCAAAGAACAAACATATGTATCATAATACCAAACCCTTTGTTCCAACATTTAATAAAAAGGCATTAGCCTTTTTATTGATCATTTAAAAGAAAATTACTATTTACAAACTTAAAGTTCCAAATGATGAAAGAATCCATCCAGCACTTTCCACGGCAAGACATTATACTATCAGCGAATTGTCTGCTCAAAGAAACCCTAATGCCATCAAGTTCATCACAATCACTCTTCAATGTTTCGCATAATTAAAAACATACAACCCCCATCAACATAAGCAGCAGAATACTCTGCCATCACTTCCTAACCAAAGCACTAAAACTTGGCATGTAAATACTCACACTACTTCAATGCAAATACAACTAAAAACAAAACTAAAATTTAGATGACATTGCCCAACTCAGCACATGAACTTAAAACACAAACTTTAAGCTAAAAGAAAAATAAAAAGTTAAAAACACCAACCTTTAAAATTGGTATATGTATGTCACTCAAAGTATCATTGGGAGTAATCAAGGCCGTCTCGAACTCCTCCGCCGAAAACTCAGCCGTTATATTCAATAAAGGCCTAAAAACCTACAACACAAAAACCCAAAACCCAAAACTTCATTGACTTTACTAAAACATAAACAAAAATCCAAACTTAACAGAACAAGAACACTCACATGCAAGAAATTGAGTATGGAAGCTAACTCCCACATGGCCCGCAGACTCCATCGTGGCAACTGAGACGGCGGAGGGGATCCCACTAAGGGAGTTACTATTTTACTATTAGCGCTACATTGCTGTTGATGCTGCGGCGACTCATCTAACCTCTCTCGCTGCTCCTTCTTCTTGGGTTTGCGCTCGATCACGGCCTGGGCCTGAGCCGCGGCGTAGAGGCGTTGAGCAGTACGTAGAGTGCACGCGCGGGAGGGGCGGTTGCTTCTATTAATTGGGGCAGTTGTTGTAGTTGTAGTTGTAGTTGTAGTGGTGGTGTCGTTTTGAGAGGAGTGGGTGTCGTTTTGGGGATTAGGGGTAAGGTCGTTTGGTTGTTGGTGTTGCGGGGAAGGGATCGGAGAAGCAGGGGTGGATTCACGGGACATGGTTAGGGAGATCGAGATGGTTTAGGTTAGTTACGGTGAGATTACATGTAGATGATCATGGGTTTTGGCATTTAGATAAAAGAAACCAAACTCAAAACAGATTAATGTCTTTGTGTTGTTAAGAAAAGAAGAGAAACGGATAGTACAAAGGTCCAAAAACATCATTCACATAATAACTGTATCTATTCTATCCTATGTGTTGTATTTCTTTTTCTTTTCTTTTCTTTGTTTGTGTGAGTAGAAAATAGGAGACCAACAAAGAGAAAGGCCAAGGGGGGAAGAGACAGAAGGGTAGGGAACTGGGAAGGAGAAAGAGGGACAATAATACCTGGGATTTTGGTGAAGTCTTTAATTTCCATTTTTTTTTTTTTAATTATTTTGGTAAATATTGTTCTTCTTTTCTTTTGTTGATTTTAACTGACTTTTTTTAGACAATTGACTTGGTTTATATAGTGGTTAGGCCTTAGGGTAATCACTTGTCTAATTAACGGAATTTTTTTCTTTATTAATAGAAGTTTATAAACCATCTAAAAAACCTTATCTTTTGATGAGTTTATTGAAGTAATTTAACCTATTCTTTTTTTCCTAATTTTATTGTTATTTACATTTTACATAAACAAAAAAAAAAAAAAAAAAAAAAAAAAAAAAAAAAACCCTTTTAAGTTACAAGAAAGAGGGGGCTGGAAAAGGGTTAATCTGAATCGGATCTGAATCATCTGATCATAAGGAATGATGTTGTCTTGTAAATGGTTTTCCATTGTAGTATTGTACTTTTGAACTTAGATCTTTGTGCAAATGAATATCTTCTCCTGAAGATTAATCTATTAATATTTCTATTTAGTCATTAATTAATAAAGTAGTTTGTATTTGGGTTTTTGTGGTATGAGTTTGTTTTACTCCCTTGTGTTTCTTTGGTTCATCATTTAATTTAATTTTGGTTTAATTTAATCAACTAAACCATTGCTAATTTACATACCATTATATAAGATGAGTTTTTTAAGATAATTCCTATCCATAACATATTGAGAAATCAAATCAGAAGGCATACCAAACTTTGAGTTTTCCAAATATGCTATCACTTTCATTTCACTATTAAATATAGACACTTTTATCAACTAATTTGCTCCATTTTCTCATCGTTTATTACATGATTATGACTATTCTCGTGGCTTTAATGGTTTAGGTTTACATGAACAACACTACTCGTTAATTTAGTCGCAAGAAAAATGGTATTTATGCAATACAGGTATGAAACCATGTAAAAATGCAATATGTTATTACGACGAGTTTTACATTGAAATAGTATTACAATGTTGTATTGTAACAAAACCTAGAGACACAAGATGCAAGAAAATATACAATGGTCCGTGAATGTTCATAATTTAGGTCAACTTTCTGAAATTGGTTATTGCACAAAGTCTAAACAAGCTATTATATTCAAAGCCAACTGTTATGGGGTAACTGGATCTATAACTATGGCTATTTGTCTTGTAATCAACAAAGGCAACAGTTAGATTGGGCACAACTTTTTGAGACGAATTTCTAGTGGGCCGGGTGACACCATTTAGGAAACCATGAAGTTCCAGAGCTTCTCTACATTAATTTCTTGTGGGCTGAGTTGGGTTTGTACCTACACATTCAACATGGATGTACACTTTCTTGACATTGATCGTGCATTTGGTGAATCATGTTGAGGGTTTTTTCCTTCTTTCTTTTTTCTTTATTGGTCATCATGTTGAAGTTTTCTTTTTATTCCTTTTTTCTTTAGTGCTATAACTTCCAATTAATATTGATAGTTCTTCAGTCTTCTCTATCAATTAGTAGCATATATTCAAGCATAAGTTGTTTTGGATAAGATTTAGAAATACAGTATGTAGACGATAAAAAATCTACTGTTATGAAACAGATTGATCCTATAAGGTTGAGGTCATTGATGATCTATTGAACTTGCACATATAAAGAAACAAGCGTGAAACTTACATAAAACATCGGTATGATGTTTGTCATAGGCACTTCAACGTTCAAGTCACGAGACTGGTAGAGACTATTTAGTGAGGGCTACAAGGAGGAAGAGTTATCGAAGACCATTTAGTGAGGGCTAAGGGGAGGACGGTTTACTAAAGTACTGAATTTTGATCGGAGATTAGAGCTACAAGAGAGGTGATAGTTCTTAGGAGCAAGAATTTTAGAAGTTAGTAGGTGGTATAGAATTATGGATGCTTAATGAGATGTCAAATCTCTGTTTATATAATGAACATAGGATCTTCGACTCCTAGCATAACTTTAAGTTCATAATAGTGGAGTTCCAATAAATAGGAAAATCTTTATTTACTGGATTTGAAAGAGTAAGAGTTCTAATTCATATAAGAGTTGAGATCTTGGATGAATTAGGATGAAGGTGAAATTTTTTAGAGGATTTAGGATAATGATGAAATAAGATGTGGATGATTTAGGGCTTAAGTGGAATCGGAACCTTTGAAGTTGTCATGGGTCAACAGGGCTGAGCTTAGATGGGTTAATGATGAGGCCCAATCTAAGTGATCCAATCCCATGAGAAGTTTGGTCGGTGCGATGGGCTGACCAATGGCATGAATTTATAAAGTAGGTCCAACCGGAATTGAGACATATAGTAGATATTTTAGCGATTGGGTCTAATAAGGCTCCAGACGTTTTATGGCCCACACACAGTATATTGTATTTTATTTCATTTATATACTAGTTTCTGAATTATTCAAAAGTTTTTTTAATTAAAAATTATCGACGCTAAATGCAGTGGTTGTAATTCCGACATGTTCTTGTAAATGGTCTGGAAAACGAATTGTTTCAAAGCTTCCTTTCTGTACGCTAGCTGCAGCTCAGCTTCTATATATATATATATATATATATATATATATATTGTGAAATGGGCCCAACTTTGAATTATTCTAGGAAAATCAGTACAGCAACTCTTATTGATGCAATGATGGAGCTGAGGCTAACATATCATATGGGTTGATGATCATACAGGAAATAAAGTAGAAACTTGCTTATTCAAATGGGCAACAATTTTTTTCAGCTTTTTATGCAAAAATAAGAGTTTGTAGACAGAAAGAAAGCAAACTTGTCACTGAAAGTCATTGCTAAAATATATTCTTCCATAATCTTCCATTAAATGTACGTCACAGCCATTGACTAAACAAAACTAATTATAGTTCATGCCACCAAAGAGACATAGATTCATCGAAATCACCACTTGGTGGTCGGGTGGGGTTATAAAAACTCTTGAGTGTATTACTTAAGAGATTTTGAGTTCGATTCCCCTCGGTTGCTAATAGGAGTGGCCACCAAGGGTTTACCCAGTCGTTAACTTCAAGATCCTGAGGATTAGTTGAGATGCACGTAAACTGGTATGGACACCTCCGTTATCCAAAAAAAAAAAAAAAAACATAGATTCATGAACCATGAATATAATTTATGTGACCGTTGTGTGAAAAATCATTGGTCTCAACAAGCAAATATATCTAAGTCAAGAAACTATTCTAATCCAATTCCATCTCTAAATTGGAAAATAGTATCTACCTTAGTTACTTTCCAATTGTCCATACTTTGTTATCAGTCAGTTATTGAACTTTATTTACTTCTTCTTGCATTATAAAGTTGCTGGATTTTTATCAGGAAACATTAGCCAACCCACCGGGAAAGTCAACTTCGAGAACGTGTGAGTAATTCTTCCTGTCAATCACATGTCATAATTTGTTTTTCTGTATCTTTGAAAAATCTACCATGTTTATGCCACTGTCATCATTAGGGATCAGTTGATGGAACAGAGAACAAACTGGAATGAGATTCTCAGAACAAATTTCCCACTCACTGTGGTTTAGAATGATAATTGATCTTTGTTGAACCTTAGGCTTTCCCGTAGAATGTTAGCATAGCTTAGAGAAAACGATAAAGATGAAGAATAATAAAGAATTTAATGGTATTTAGTTAATTAATTATGCTATATACTCGTGAAAATTAATATTATAAAATATAATTTCAGCACCTTATCCCTCACCAGAAGTTAGGAAAGATAGCACAGCACGTAAAATAATTGAAGTGCTAACTTTTCCACTACTGACCGTGAAATTGCGGTATGTTTTGTACTTTTTGTAATTCTCATGAAGCAACGTTGTTTTTTATTTTTATTTTTTATTTTTTATTTTTTGAGTTTTACATGTTCGGTTCTCCCCGGCTTCTACATAATTTCCACTAAGACTAAGAGTGACCCTTACCTCATTGAATTTTATAAATAGAGTCCAGTTGTTAGCAAATGAACCAACATTGATTAATTCCTTCTCTTCTTGAGCTCCAATTTAGAAGTGTGTGTTAAGTTCAGGGTGGTTTTGAAGGTAAGCGAAAGATTTGATCAAATGGGGATATGGTGGAGTTCTCTGTCGCAGGAGAGATGGCACCTTCTGTCACACACACACACACACACACACACACACATATATATGTGTGTGTGTGTGTGTGTGTGTGTGACTCTGTGTGTGTGTGTGTGTGTGTGTGTGTGTGTGTGTGTGTGTGTGTGTGTATGTATGTATTGGTTGCAGTAGCTGCCATCTCTTCTGGGCAGAGAGATCCCCTTGATCCCTCCCAAACAATTTCATTTCTCTCATACACAGGGTATATGACATGCATTTGGGTTGTGCAAAACATAAATCACAGCTATCCCAATTCATTGACAATTACATATGGTAGTCATTTTTAAGAATAGTTTATCTTCATTATATATTAATCTTGAATCATGTACTCAAAAGATCATATATGTATGGACTTTAACAGGTAGGTACCTACTATGTTGGTAGGAGAGAGCTGCATTCTAAGAATTCCAACCTGATCATGTTTTTTAATGTAGATTTAACAATGCAAAGAAAAAGAACAAGTAGAGTATCAGTATGAAACTGAATCACTGGCCGTGGTCATCACCTAAAGTACATATTTTTGTCATGTTATTATATCTCTGTCTCTCTGTCTTGTCTTCTGGTTTCCTTCTGTAGATAAAGTCTGTGACAGACTGATAGTATCATGATTGTCCCATGAAAGGGCAAAAAAGTTTACACATGAAAGCTAGCTACCATGGTTCAAACATTAAACTAGATATTACATTAAAA